TAGCTTGGTCTGACTAAAATCTTGTGCATATCCACCCTGTCCAAAGTCTCTACTTGGTCTCAGTTCTCCAGTAAACTTGTGATTATCAACAGTACACAACGGTAACAAACAATTGGGGGAACTCACGGGGCAGATAGTAAGGTCACAGTGACACAGAAAGCAGTTCAATGTCGGGGCTCGGGGGTACAGAGTCGCTCTCTTACCAGGATCGATTTTCCCTGTGACTGTCAGATCGAGGTCCGCTCCGACCAGGGTGAAGCCGGCCGGCTCCACTTCTCTGTCCGGGACTCTGTCATCCAGCCAAGTCTCCCAGCTGTATTGGATTCCGCTGCCAGCAACGTTTTCATTATTTAGTCCGTTCGTAGCGGGTATGTACACGATCAACAAGATCAGTCCAAAACCCACCACTCGAAATCCATGGTTGGCAGAATGTTTGTAAACTAAGTGTACAAATTAAAAACATAAAATAACGCCACTAAGTGTACAAATTAAAAACATAAAATAACGCCACACTGCAGGTCGCAAAGAGACGCTGCTAGCCGCTATTTGCTTAGTTACGTTCATGGTTACGTCACGTATGACGAAAGCGCGTAAGTGCAAGCCCACAGACACCCATAGAGAATGTATTGAAAGCTTTGAAATTTGAAAAAAATAGATTTTACATGACAGGCTATGAGAGACTTCTGGGCGATTTTCAACCTGACTGAAATCGCCCAAAAACGGGCGGGGCCATTTGAAGCACGACTTTAGCCTGATTTGACATTTAGTGGCAGTCAGATCAGATTACAACACTGATAACTACTGTTGCCGTGATATAATTGATTAGAAAAAAAATCCCTTCCTTTTCCCGTTTGGCAGTGCGTCGCCCATATCGCCCTATTGAACAGGCCGTCCCTGGTCAGGTCAATGTTGTTCTATTACGGAGCTAGAGCCATGAAACCTTGCAATGCATTGGGACCTAAATGAAGCAGTTGATTGGAAGTGGTAACATTATAGTGATATGAAATCATGATATGAAATCATGATATGAAAGTACAAAACAAGAAGTATTCGCTCCATAGTGTGTAGCTCTCTAGTCATTGGGTCCTAAATAAAACTACAGATATGAAGTGATATGAAGTTGAGTTGAACGATATGAAATCATTCTTAGGACAAATGTTAGAAGTATCCACTCCATACTGTCTAGCTATCTTTCTCTGTGAAACTCTAGCTTTCTAGTCCCCTTCACTGTGGCATTGCAGTTGCTGGTTTAATCCCCTTAGCTAAATCAAATGGTGCAGGCAATCTGAGCTGCGATGAAACCATTTGAAAGGTAAGGTCAGACGATCAGAAGAACAATAGCGTTCTGATATTCCAGCTTGCACACAATGTGTTGCGCATAATTGGAAGACCTTTGTTATTTGACTATGATGTACAAGATGTGAATACAAACAAAACTACAGCGGTGAGAGGGGAACAGATTTGCTCCAAAGTTTCATCCTGCCTTTGCATCACCGTTAGGGTCGGCTGGGCGGTCATTCTGGACGTTGAAATTGCAATATCAAACTGTCACCCAGCCAATTGTGTGTGTGTCAAGCCGAGTATGAACCCAGGTCTCCCCCTGGAAGCAACCAATGTCTTAGACCATCAGACCAAGAGGAGATTTCTTCTAGGTCCGAGGGCAGATACTTGTTTTAAAGTTCGTAGGCGGGGCTACCTCATCACATGACCGGTTCATGTCCGCTACATTCACCCCCCTTTGACCTCCTCCCCCATGAGAGACCGCACCACGTAGGGCGAAAAAGTAACACACGGGATATGAACCCGGGTCTCCCACGATGGGAGCAACCAGCATCTTAGACCATTACACCAAGAGTAAATTCACTCTTGGTCCAAGGGCAGACACTGGTTTTGAAGTTTGTAGGTGGGGCTACCGCATCACGTGACCATAACCGACTCATGTCCGCTACATGTGTTAATGTGTGACTTCTATACCCACACGCGTCAAACAATAAAGCAATATTCTCCGAAAGTCCACCCTTCGACAATGGAGATCGCTAAAATCAGCCGAATTACAACTTAATTTATTACATCATCGCCAGTTGCATCATCATTACCCTATTAGAATAAATAACATGTTGTCTGTCTGTCTGTTCTGGGAGGGATCGAGCCAGAAAGTAATGGCCAAATAAAGCCTGTTACCCAGACAGCACTTCCCCCCACGTCCAGAGATGATACCGTTTGCGAATTAGCATACAGTACCTATGGCAACCGGCAACCTTTGTGAGATTCTTTCATAATGTTTGTACAGCCGTCACCCACCTGCTTTATTTAGCTTAGGGTGACTGATGGTGCAACATGACACCTTCTCGCTCTCTCTGATTCTCTCTCGAGGTGAAAGGGCGAACAGAAAGCACTCCAAAACATAATAAAAGCCCCTTTAGGGTAACGATTTGGTTCGAAAACTGTTGGGAGTGTGTTTATGTGACTTGGAATCGTGATGATTTGCATGAATAGGGTTTCTACATGTAGTGTATAGAGGGTTTTACATTATGGTTTGAGTGTTTCGTATTCATGTATTAATTGCTTGAAATATACATTTTTGTAGTAGAAGTAATACTAGTTACCAGAGGCGTCATGCACTCTACCTTCATGTCTTTGAATTTAGAAACTATATGGTATATTTCTATCCTACCAATAAATGAAACCTTCAGCTTCAATGGGCACAATGCTTCTGCAGTTTACTTGTCAGTATACCTTTGCTCCCATAATTGATATTTTCTTGTGTTGGTGTGGTTGTTGAGATTGCACAATTGAATAGGTACAGTATGTTGTAACACATTATATCCGAACGCAGTGCAAGGTATACTCAATTAACCTTGGTACATTCATTTAACTAATTTCTCAGAAGGTGAAAACCATTTATTTGCAATATATGTAGAGAAGAGATTATTTTTTGGTAATGAGCAATTTTAAGTGTATATATGTAGAATATATACACAGTACGAACCTCCTGACATGTCTTGCTTTCCATGTGATTGATCAACTAATCAAAACAGGGGATTCGTTTATAAGGTTGTATTATGTATGTATTTTAATATTGCTATCTGGATTTTATGCCCCATATCTTACATTTGAGCACTCAGCTTTAATGAAAAAGGAACTACAATTGAAGCTAATGCTATGAAGCATGATTTAGAATATGAATAGTGGCAGAATGTATCTATACTGGATTCTAAACAAATATCATGAATTATTCACGTTTCGGTTGAAAGAGAAAATAACATGATTGATAGTAGTCCGCTATAGGCCTCTCCCCCTTCCTCCTCTAACAATAGGGATTAGATGGGTAATTCCTTTTGTCCCAAGAACTCCTCCATTGTTCTATAAAAACAGATAGATCCCAATTGGAACTACTGAGAACCCCTCTACCTTGTCACACTGCTACTCTTCTGCATTGCTTGTCCCCTTTTATTTATTTTTATATGAAACATAGTTCGCTCAGATTAAAAGGGTGACGATTTCACCCAGAGGCTGTTGCTATGGAAATAGGTCTGCTGTAACCATGATAGGCCATTCATGTTTGATTAATTGGTTTTTCAATGCTTCTTGGTTTGTGGAGACCCTTAAAGAGCAGCTCCACCGAAAATGGAAAATTAATGGATTTCATTTTTTATTTTTTTGGTAAAGCTATTTCACCATGTTTGAGAAGTGGAGTGATGGTGTTTTAAATTATGATTTGAGGTTGGAAGGTTCTGTTTTGGGTGCGGGAGGTTAGAGCATGGTTATTTGAAATGCAAAGGAAATGCCTTTGTTCAGGCTGCCGAGACATTTAAAAAAAATCTCATGTCCTGTAAATATTATTGGGTCTTTCAAAGCAGCCCAGAGTTCTCTACAACATTACATTACCAGTACATTTTATTCTTAGCAACCTACTGGGGCCAATTATGATTACAAAGTTGCAGAGCTTTCGTCTCAGAGACTCTACTGTTTATCAAGATCTCATATGCTAGGGCCCCTGCAATTTGATCTTTTTAGCACAGCACTAATGTGTAATGTATTATTTAACTCATGAATGTTTAACAGAGCTAATAAATGCTAGTTCATCACTTTCTGATCTGTAAATTGCCAAACATTCCCCAGTTGTGCTTGCATAAAGGCCTGCTTTGGCTCGTCTATGTCCTGATAGATTTTGAAAAAATGCTTTTGATGTTGTTATTTGAGAAGATCAGTTAGACTACTAAGAGTGATACTTTAATAAGGGGTTATGAGAACTGTCTCTTTAATCAGTTGAAAGTGTATATCCTCCTTTAATGGGTCAACTTCCAACAATGTTGTCCCACAGCTTTTATTCTCGTTGAATGACCAACCACAGTCATTTTAGTCTATAGGCTATTATTCCATAAGCATAGCTTACGCTCTGAACCATCCTGGTACTTAGTGGAAAATCGTGTAAACTTTGCCCTAATGATGTTCTACAGCGGCAAGACATCTCCCACCTCGCTTTGAAAGTCAAGTGGTTTTGTGACAAATTCAGTTGGTTTGGATTGTAAATTCCAGGCAGGGACATCAGAGGGTGTTGACACAAGTCCACGGGTGGCAGTGCAGATCTTCATAAAAGTACAAAGTTTTATGAATTCACAAGTACGATAAAGGGACAGATACAGTCTTTGAATAATGTTGGTGTGATGAATTATATGTTGTTCAAGGTCATTTGCACCGCAGGACTGCAATTGATATTCAACACATCAAATTGTGCCTCAAAGCGCAATCAAGATTAAAATGTGCAGTTTATTGAGGAACGCATGGCGTGTATTTCAGTCGTGACTGAGGAGAGTGGGAAAATCAAGATACGTTTGCTTCCAACCAGTCCTAAGTAGAACAGTGGGACCAGTGAACCCGGAAGGGCACACTTACTTTCTTTGACATCCTATCGACCATTTACCCTCATTTTTTGGCAAATTGGGAATGTACAATTGGTAAAGTTAAAGTAGTAAAGCTGGTCTTCTTCTCTCACCCAGATCCAGGAGATGACTCGCCACGACGGCTCACATTATGACCTCAGCCGTCACAACCCCCATCTGATAAACAGGTCACCTAGGATACTGTCTCACCACCCAATGAGCACAATGTCCCAACTGAACTCTCAGGTTGGCCGAAGTGCACTTACCCATGGTTCTCCCTCACCTCCCGGAAGTAAATCAGCCACACCCTCTCCCTCGAGCTCTACACAGGAAGAGGAGATCGATTCCCACCATAAGGTACTGATGTGGCAATGCTTCTTTGATTTCGCTGAACCTAGGGAAAGTCAGGGTGTTGGGGTTGGTCGTGTTGGGTGTTGCCAGATGGAATGAACATTTGACTTTTTAACCAACTTGCGGTCGCGTTGTGTAATGTGTGTATGTATGGCAGTATGACAGTGAATGTATGACAATTATGCAAACAAGCTACTCTGTGAGGTTTTAAGAGCAGTGGTGTCTCTATGCGAGCATACACATCTCCAATCTCATAGGCGTTTCATTTGTTTGTTTGCCTTCTTAGAACACATGCCAATAAGAGACCATCTGATATATTTTTTAGATTGGCTTCGAATCCTAGTTCAAACTTAAAGATGCACTTTTCAGAAATTGCTCTGCTATTTCCTGGTTGCTAAAATTATAATAGTTAGCCTAATTTCAGTTTATGTGACAAAACAAGCAAATGCGTGGGGAAAAAAAGTATTATCAGCACAATGTGCAAGTCTCCATTAAAAGATGAGAGAGCCGTATTTTCATCTTAGGTCACGTCACTATGACAGACAAAATGAGAAAAAAATTCCAAAAATCACATTGTAGGTTTTTAATATTTTTGCAATTATGGGGAAATAAGTATTTGCACCTACAACAACAAATTGGGCTCTCAGACCTGAACTATTCTTAGACCCCTCTGTCTCCATCGTACTGTATAGGCACCTGTTTGACTTGTGTTAAAGCACCTGTCCACAACTCAAACGTCACACTCCAAACTCACTGGCCAAGACCAAAGGTGTCAAGGACACCAGAAACATTGTACCTGCACAGGCTGGAAGACTAATGCAATAGGTAAGCAGCTTGGTTTGAAGAAATCAACTGTGCAAGCAATTATTAGGAAATGGGACTGAAATCCTGCAGTGCAAGACGTGTCCCCCTGCTTAAGCCAGTACATGTCCAGGCCCGTCTGAAGTTTGCTAGAGTGCATTTGGATGATCCAGAAGAGGATTGTGAGAATGTCATATAGTCAGATGAAACCAAAATAGAACTTTTTGGTAAAAACTCAACTTGTCGTGTTTGGAGGACAAAGAATGCTGAGTTGCATCCAAAGAACACCATACCTACTGTGAAGCATGGGGGTGGAAACATCATGCTTTGGGGCTGTTTTTCTGCAAAGGGACCAGGACGACTGATCCGTGTAAAGGAAAGAATGAATGGGGCCATGTATCGTGAGATTTTGAGTGAAAACCTCCTTCCATCAGCAAGGACATTGAAGATGAAACGTGGCTTGGTCTTTCAGCATGACAATGATCCCAAACACACCGCCCGGGCAACGAAGGAGTGGCTTCGTAAGAAGCATTTCAAGGTCCTGGAGTGGCCTAGCCAGTCTCCAGATCTCAACCCCATAGAAAATCTTTGGAGGGAGTTGAAAGTCTGTGTTGCCCAGAGACAGCCCCAAAATATCACTGCTCTAGAGGAGATCTGCATGGAGGAATGGGCCAAAATACCAGCAACAGTGTGTGAAAACCTTGTGAAGACTTACAGAAAATGTTTGACCTGTGTCATTGCCAACAACGGGTATGTAACAAAGTATTGAGAAACTTTTGTTATTGACCAAATACTTATTTTCCACCATAATTTGCAAATAAATTCATTAAAAATCCTACAATGTGATTTTCTGAAATTTTTTTCCTCATTTTGTCTGTCATAGTTGACGTGTACCTATGTTGAAAATTACAGGCCTCTCTCATCTTTTTAAGTGGGAGAACTTGCACAATTGGTGGCTGACTAAATACTTTTTTTCCCCACTGTATTGTACAGTTGAAGTCGGAATTGTACATACACTTAGGTTGGAATCATTAAAACTCGTTTTTCAACCACTCTACACAATTTTTGTTAACAAACTATAGTTTTGGCAAGTCGGTTAGGACATCTACTTTGTGCATGACACAAGTAATTTTTCCAACAATTGTTTACAGACAGATTATTTAACTTATAATTCACTGTATCACAATTCCAGTGGGTCAGAAGTTTACATACACTAAGTTGACTGTGCCTTTAAACAGCTTGGAAAAGTCTAGAAAAATGTCATGGCTTTAGAAACTTCTGATAGGCTAATTGACATCATTTGAGTCAATTGGAGGTGTACCTGTGGATGTATTTCAGGGCCTACCTTCACACTCAGTGCCTCTTTGCTTGGCATCATGGGAAAATCTAAAGAAATCAGCCAAGACCTCAGAAAAAAAATTGTAGACATCCACAAGTCTGGTTCATCCTTGGGAGCAATTGTATGTAAACTTCTGACTTCAACTGTACATATTGCAGCTTTAAAGCAATGCAGCTTTTTATTTTCACTTTGTTGCTTGCTGTCTGATCCATTATCACCATGTCATCTCCTTAATTGCATTTGCACATTGTTAATTGTCACGTCAAGAAAGGAAGAAAGGAAACGAAGAAGCAACTTCTTACAACATTTACAGTTATGTTGTTTTCCTTCAAAGAATTGTGGAACAAATGTAAGATTCCCTTGTGGATTCTACTGCTTTATGTACGTTTACATGTCATGTATTATTGTTGTTAGATAGGCCCTAATTTACAGAAGCTTTGTTCAATTAATTATATTGCAACAATGGCAACAGTAATGCATTTGGATGTTTTCGTGTATATAAGACGTCTCTATAAGATGTCGTAGACAGAACTTGAGACAACATAGTTATGACCAAACAAAATCACTTGAAGCAGCAGTCTTCTGTACTGTATATCACTGTCTTCTGGAGCTCTACACACCTATCAATAGATGTGTTTCACCACTGTGGGGTAAACATGTTGAAAAGGACAGGAAAGCTTGAGGGAGTATACATGTGACTCAATCCCTCTACTGGAAAAGCACAGCTCTTTCATTTGAAACAAGGAAACAGGAATACATACTCATTAAGTGGCATTAATTTAATTTATGTAAATCCATACAACAAAGCATATAGAAATTACTCACCAATCAGGGCTCTCACTGGGTTTGTTTTTCATTTACCTGGGGGATTAGAAAAGAGGAACATGAATGTATAATTGAATGTTGCATATTTATCAGCATCTGTACACAAGCACACGGTTAAAACAGCACATTTTCTGGAAAAACAATATTTTCTCCACCATACAAGCTCCCCGCTGTGCATGACTGTCCATGTATGAATAAAAAAACGATTACTATCTCTCCCCTATCAGTATGTAATTCCATTTGCCTCCCTCCAATTTATTCAACATCCACATCAAAGCTAGGACAAACTGATGTGATTTTGAATACTTTTTGCTCCATTGCACAAAAGTTGGAATCTATTATCTTAATGAAACTCTGTGGGGAATGTACAGTTTTACCTAGTCCTGGAAGAAATGTTGCATTTGTGTTGTTGTGATAAATAATTTTTGACAATGTAAACGATGTATTGCTGACAAACAAGCTTCAATCGGAATAGATCATGGTATATTACACAGGGTTAGATAAGACTAGACAGATATGATTTCGACTCAGTTTCTGTTCATGGAGTACAATTAAAAACAAGAGAGTATTAATAGTATCATACTGTAAATACATGTATTTGAACATATACATGTATTTGTGTTTTATTTATTTATTTAGTACTTTTGACCCCTTTTTCGTGATATCCAATTGGTAGTTACAGTCTTGTCCCATCGCTGCAACTCCCGTACGGACTCGGGAGAGGCGAAGGTCGAGAGCCATGCGTCCTCCGAAACACGTCCCTGCTTTTTGACACACTGCTCGCTTAACCCGGTAGCCAGCCGCACCAATGTATCGGAGGAAAACACCATACAACTGGCGACCGTGTCAGCTTGCATGCGCCCGGCCCGCCACAGGAGTTGCTAGAGCGCGATGGGACAAGGACATCCCTGCGACACAGCCCGGGATGCGTTGCACTGCCTTAGACCGCTGCGCCACTCGGGAGGCCCCAAAGTTGTGTGTTTGATGTTAACAGGTTTAAATGGTTACATTGAATGTTTCTGAGAATTCTAAATTGATTAAATCAAGCTGTCATTATGACGAAAACGCTCATTGCAAAAATGCACACTTTCATTCAAGTCAACCTGAGTTTTATTTAGTTTTTCGCTGCAAACGTTCATAAACATTATTGTCTTTTACCCTAGTAAGTCATGCTATTCTTACACTTGACGGGCAACTCATATCTCTTGATGGTGGGGATTCAGGCTTGTTTTAGCTGTCTGGTGGGCATCGACATGGATGAGTTGGCACACTGACCATGTCCATTGGTCTATGAGAGGCAGTGAAACTTTACCAATCTAAGGTGCTGTGCACTGGGACGTGAAGTAGAGGACTGGAAAGCATCTAGTCACAGTGTGCTATTGATCTTCTCATGTGGTGAAGAAGTGTATGTATAAAATGGCGGAAACAAGTGGCATCATACCTAGTCTGATAGCCTACCATTACTATTGAAAGGGAACAGTTGAAGTTTACTGCATTTCTTATATGTGTAATACATTCTGTTTGAGTGAGCGGTTGTCTTATTGTGAGTAACTACAAAGTTCAGTCTCCAAACAATGCTAGAAAGACATGAGTGACAAATTAATAAAGTAGAATCCTGTTTTCGTTCTTTGATCTTCTTCCAGATCACGGGCGAGAAGCGGCCATCCTCGGAGATGACGAAGCCCAAGCCCAAACCGCAGAAGAAGAAGAAGAAAAAGGACCCCAACGAGCCGAACAAGCCTGTGTCGGCCTACGCCCTCTTCTTCAGGGACACCCAGGCTGCCATTAAGGGCTCCAACCCCAACGCCACCTTCGGGGACGTGTCCAAGATAGTGGCCTCCATGTGGGATAGCCTGGGGGAGGAGGCAAAACAGGTACACATACCAATAAACACATGGGCATACACACACACCAACATACATGCATACACACACACCAACATACATGCATACACACACACCAACATACATGCATACACACACACACACATTTCAAAACTGGTGGATGAAGTTTCGCGGCTCCAAAATTAGGGCAAAAAATTAACTTTAACTCTAGAACACGTTGACAAACATACAGTGCCTTCAGAAAGTATTCATACCCCTTGACTTATTCCACATTTTGTTGTGTTACAGCCTGAATTCAAAATTGATTAAATACATTTTTTTAAATCTCATCCATCTACAGTCGTGGTCAAAAGTTTTGAGAATGACACAAAGTTTGCTGCTTCAGTGTTTTTAGATATTTTTGTCAAATGTTACTATGGTATACTGAAGTATAATTACAAGCATTCCATAAGTGTCAAAGGCTTTTATTGACAATTACATTAAGTTTATGCAAAGAGTCAATATTTGCAGTGTTGACCCTTCTTTTTCAAGACCTCTGCAATCCGCCCTGGCATGCTGTCAATTCACTTCTGGGCCACATCCTGACTGATGGCAGCCCATTCTTGCATAATCAATGCTTAGAGTTTGTCAGAATTTGTGGGTTTTTATTTGTCCACCTGCTTCTTGAGGGTTGACCACAAGTTCTCAATGGGATTAAGGTCTGGGAAGTTTCCTGGCCATGGACCCAAAATGTCGATGTTTTGTTCCCCGAGCCACTTAGTTATCACTTTTGCCTTATGGAAAGGTGCTCCATCATGCTGGAAAAGGCATTGTTCGTCACCAAACTGTTCTTGGATGGTTGGGAGAAGTTGCTCTCGGAGGATGTGTTGGTACTATTCTTTATTCATGGCTGTGTTCTTAGGCAAAATTGTGAGTGAGCCCACTCCCTTGGCTGAGAAGCAACCCCACACATGAATGGTCTCAGGATGCTTTACTGTTGGCATGACTCAGGACTGATGGTAGCGCTCACCTTGTCTTCTCCGGACAAGCTTTTTTCCGGATGCCCCAAACAATCGGAAAGGGGATTCATCAGAGGAAATGACTTTACCCCAGTCCTCAGCAGTCCAATCCCTGTACCTTTTGCAGAATATCAGTCTGTCCCTGATGTTTTTCCTGGAGAGAAGTGGCTTCCTCACTGCCCTTCTTGACACGAGGCCATCCTCCAAAAGTCTTCGCCTCACTGTGCGTGCAGATGCACTCACACATGCCTGCTGCCATTCCTGAGCAAGCTCTGCACTGGTGGTGCCCTGATCCCGCAGCTGAATCAACTTTAGGAGACGGTCCTGGCGCTTGCTGGACTTTTTTGGTCGCCCTGAAGCCTTCTTCACAACAATTGAATCTCTCTCCTTGAAGTTCTTGATGATCCGATAAATGGTTGATTTAGGTGCAATCTTACTAGCAGCAATATCCTTGCCTGTGAAGCCCTTTTTGTGCAAAGCAATGATGACGGCACGTGTTTCCTTGCAGGTAACCATGGTTAACAGAGGAAGAACAATGATTTCAAGCACCAGCCTCCTTTTAAAGCTTCCAGTCTGCTATTATAACTCATTCAACATGACAGAGTGATCTCCAGCCTTGTCCTCGTCAACACTCTCACCTGAATTAACGAGAGAATCACTGACATGATGTCAGCTGGTCCTTTTGTGGCAGGGCTGAAATGCAGTGGAAATGTTTTTTGGGGATTAAGTTCATTTTCATGGCAAAGAGGGACTTTGCAATTAATTGCAATTCATCTGATCACTCTTCATAACATTCTGGAGTATATGCAAATTGCCATCATAAAAACTGAGGCAGCAGACTTTGTGAAAATTAATATTTGTGTCATTCTCAAAACATTTGACCACGACTGTACACACAATACCCCATAATGACAAAGGGAAAACATGTTTAGACATTTTAGCAAATGTATTGAAAATGAACAGTAGTACAGAAATATCTCACGTACATAAGTATTCACACCCCTGAGTCAATACTTTATAGAAGCACCTTTGGCGGCGATTACAACTTTGAGTCGTCTTGGGTAGGTCTGTATCATCTTTGCACATCTGGATTTGGGGATTTTCTCCCATTCTTCCTTGCAGATTTTCTCAAGCCCTGTTACGTTAAATGGGGTGCAGTGGTGAATAGCAATCTTCAAGTCTTTCCACATATACAAGTCTGGGCTTTGGCTGGGCCACTCAAGGACTTTCACATTATTGTTCTGAAGCCATTCCAGCATTGCTTTGGCTGTATGCTTGAGGTCATTGTCCTGTTGGAATGTAAAACTTTGCCCCAGTCGAAGGTCGTTTGCACTCTGAAGCAGGTTCTCATAAAGGATTTGCCTGTATTTGGCACCATTCGTTGTTCCCTCTATCTTTACCAGTTTCCCAGTCCCTGCCGCTGAAAAGCATCCCCATAGCATGATGCTGCCACCACCATGCTTCATGAAAGGGATGGTGTTAGACGGGTGATGAGCTGTGCCTGGTTCTCTCCAGACAAAGCGCTTTGCATTCAGGCCAAAGAGTAATTTTTGTCTCATGAGACCACAGAATCTTTTGCATTATGCTCTGAGTCTTTCACATGACTTTTTGCAAACTCCAAGTGTGCTGTCATGTGCCTTTTTATCAGGAGTGGCTTCCGTCTGGCCACTCTCCCATAAAACCCAGATTGGTGAAGTGCTGTAGAGACTATTGTCCCTCTGGCAGGTTCTCCCATCTCAGCCAAGGAACTCTGTAGTTCTGTCAGAATGGTCATTGGGTTCTTGATCACCTCCCTGACCAGGGTCCTTCTTGCACAGTTGATCAGTTTGGTCGGACGGCCAGCTCTTGGAAGAGTCTGGGTACATATTTTTTCAATTTCCCAATGATGTGCTCGTGGAAACTTTCAACACTCTAGAAATAGTTTTATATCCTCATCACAATTCTGTCTCGGAGCTCTACGGACAGTTCCTTGGACTTCATGGTATAGTTTCTGCTCTGACATGCACTGTCAACTGTGGGACCTTATATAGACAGGTGTGTTTCTTTCTAAATCATGTCCAAACAATTGAATTGGCCACAAGTGGACTCCAATCAAGGTGTAGTGACATCGCAAGGATGATCAAAGGAAATTGGGTGCACCTGAGCTCAATTTGGAGTGTCTTAGCAAAGGGGTGTGACTACTTATTTAAATGTAGATGTTTCGGTATTTAATTTTCAATACATTGGCTAAACTTTCTGAAAACCTGTTTTCACTTTGTGATTATGGGGAGTTGTGTGTAGATGGGTGAGAGAGAAACAATTGATTTAATACATTTTGAATTCAGGCTGTAACACAACAAAATGTGAAATAAGTCAAATGGTATTAATACTTTCTGAAGGTACTGTATATTCATATCAGTAAAACAAAGCATAAAGGTACACAAATTGGTAAGTCTAAATGTCCAACAAAACAGATCACAACATAAAGGTACTGTACAGACAAGGCTAACCTTCACTTGGTTTGTTCAAGCCAGAACCATAGAGGCCTACAGTATAACTAACCAACAGCGTATTTACCACAATCACAATGTAGTTAAATGTAAGTAAACAGTTATCTCCCACCACGACCTCACACTTCTGTCATTACAGAAGCACCATAGAAACTCCTGTCAAAAGAAAGAAATGTCATATTCACCCAGTAATCCCAGAAAACAATAGGTAAACACACAACAAACACATCTTAGACAATCATCTTTGTTACGGCCATAGAGGAGGAGACAGAATAAAGGCACATGTCAAATAAAATAAATATATCTAATTTGTAGTCACAGATATTGGGACATAGTTCACTCCAAAATCAAAGTTTTCAGACCTCATCCATATAGCTGCATCTACGCTACATATGGTGTGGGCCATGGACTGATCTTGTTAATAGACTTTTTAGGCCTGAAGAAATCTGAGGAACTTTGATTTTGGAGTGAAATGTCACTTTAATATCTAAGGGGTCTGTATGAGAAATGAATTCTCTCAGATTATGGGCTGCATGTCACCAGTTTCAATGCAGTCTGTTTTTAATGGTATGACAAGCAGTAAAATGGCATCATGATAGTCATGACAGTGTTCTTTATTTGGCTTGATTTGAACTGTGGAATATGCATACAGTGAGGGAAAAAAGTATTTGATCCCCTGCTGATTTTGTACGTTTGCCCACTGACAAAGAAATGATTAGTCTATAATTTTAATGGTAGGTTTATTTGAACAGTGAGAGACAGAATAACAACAAAAGAATACAGAAAAACGCATGTCAAAAATGTTATACATTGATTTGCATTTTAATGAGGGAAATAAGTATTTGACCCCCTCTCAATCAGAAAGATTTCTGGCTCCCAGGTGTCTTTTATACAGGTAACGAGCTGAGATTAGGAGCACACTCTTAAAGGGAGTGCTCCTAATCTCAGCTTGTTACCTGTATAAAAGACACCTGTCTACAGAAGCAATCAATTAATCAGATTCCAAACTCTCCACCATGGCCAAGACCAAAGAGCTCTCCAAGGATGTCAGGGACAAGATTGTAGACCTACACAAGGTTGGAATGGGCTACAAGACCATCGCCAAGAAGCTTGGTGAGAAGGTGACAACAGTTGGTGCGATTATTCGCAAATGGAAGAAACACAAAAGACCTGTCAATCTCCCTCGACCTGGGGCTCCATGCAAGATCTCACCTCGTGGAGTTGCAATGACCATGAGAATGGTGAGGAATCAGCCCAGAACTACACGGGAGGATCTTGTCAATGATCTCAAGGCAGCTGGGACCATAGTCACCAAGAAAACAATAGGTAACACACTACGCCGTGAAGGACTGAAATCCTGCAGCGCCCGCAAGGTCCCCCTGCTCAAGAAAGCACATATACAGGGCCGTCTGAAGTTTGCCAATGAACATCTGAATGATTCAGAGGAGAACTGGGTGA